GTCAGCTACTCCCGAGTCTCTGGGCTGTCCCCTGGGGGTCCCAGAATGGCTGTTACCCTTGAAGACTGCATCTTCCCCCAACAGCCAAAGGCAGGCAGGCAGGGAGTGTCTCCGCCCAGAGATTGTTTTATTGGGAAACCAAGCCTTCCCCAAGAGCCCCCAGAATGACCTACAGGCTCTGCTCGCCTCCCTCTTTCTTCTTCCCTTACTTCCTCTGACCCCACTCGGCCTTGTCCCAATCTGGTTGGTGGTGACTGACCTACGGTGTGAGGGATATCCTGGAAAACGCAGGGTCTCACCGCTCCAGAATGAAAAGCCACGAGGTTAAGGACATGGCCAATGACATGGAGCAAGAAAAGCCCGGCCATTGGCTGCTGTGTTGGACCCTCACCTCCCCACCGCCACAGGCCCGGCCCCTCATCTCTCTCCCTCCAGGGTCAAAGCCCTGGGCAGGGACGTCCTCCTGGCCAAGCCTGGCGTGGGCTCACACCCTGCTGCCTGAAAGACCAGCAAGACTCTGCCCTTTCTGCAGGCTGACACGGGCTGGCTCCCCAGTCCCTCGCAGCAGAGGAGCTTCGCTGAGTCCCACAGTGCCCCCAGCTTCCCAGGTCTCTGTCTCCAGGCAAGTCCAATGTCATTTCCCCTCAGGCAGAGCCAGGTGACCCTCCAGGCAGCTGTCACTGCGGCCTGTACTCCCAGCACAACCTCTATCCACATGGTAGTTGTTCTTCCCACATGTGATAGGTAGATTCTGTGAGGGTGGGGACCCTGCCTTCCTTAGTCACCCACCCCTGGATCCAGAGCACCAAGCACACGACAGGGACACGGTGCATGCTCATTGAATGTATCCCGAACGAACGAGCGAGTCGACTACTAGTGGCACCCCCTCCAGTGACCTGACCCCAAGACTCAACATTCTTCTGCCCATCTGGTCTGGTGTCAAGTCCCATGAATTAATCCTGCCTCCACAGTCTAGGCCCTCATTATCTTCCTCTTGTTATCTTTGACCTTTGCCACAGTTCCCTGCCTGACATCTGCAGTTTCCCACTGCTGTTTCTGCCTGGCCAGTAGCTCTTCTCTCCTGTTCGGGAAACTGCCAGCATTTGCCTTTGGGGACCGACTTCAATGTCCTGCAGGCTGAGGGAGCTGTCAATCACAGCCCCTTCCACTTCCGCCAGTGAGGGACAGGAGATGGATCCAGGCCAGAAACTCAGATCTTGAGTGGAAAGACACACATACAGAAAACGGTTAGAACAGAATCATTCAAGCCAGACCATCTGTGAACAACTGGGGGAGCCTCGTAGTTTAGAACCAAATGGGAGGACAGCCACAGAAGGGAGGCAGAGAGATCAGAATCCGCCTTTACCCCTGGCAAAGCCGGAGCCGTGCCCTCGCCGACCAGTGGGCTTACTAGTGCTGGACACCCAAATTAAGCTTCTCTACCCGGTCCCAGGTACTGCTGGGAAATCAGTCCTGTCTCTGAGCCAGACCTCAGAACATTCAAAACATGGAAGAAGGGACCAGCAGTTAGTGTAATGGCTATGTCGCTGGACTCCCACGTAGTCGACCGCAGTTTGCATCCCGGACCCGGTGGCTTAAAACTCACGCCGGGCGCATGTGCATGCGTGCCCAAGCTACCAAGAGGAGAATGGAGAAGGGATGGCGGCGTGGCCACACCTCCCCCCGGGGGTGATTTCTCGCTTTCTGTCTGTCTGTCTGTCTGTCTGGCGAGCACACACGCCGTATAGCAAAAACCTCTTCAAAAAAAAAAAAAAAACATGGAAGAAGATGCAAGAAAACATGCTTCTTGCGGGCAAAAATGAGCAAGAGAAAAGGAGGGTAGTCGACCGCAGTTTGCATCCCAGACCCGGTGGCTTAAAACTCACGCCGGGCGCGTGTGCATGCGTGCCCAAGATCCCAAGAGGAGAATGGAGAAGGGATGGCGGCGTGGCCACACCTCCCCCCGGGGGTGATTTCTCGCTTTCTGTCTGTCTGTCTGTCTGTCTGGCGAGCACACACGCCGTATAGCAAAAACCTCTTCAAAAAAAAAAAAAAAACATGGAAGAAGATGCAAGAAAACATGCTTCTTGCGGGCAAAAATGAGCAAGAGAAAAGGAGGCCTGAGTTACACTTCACTGACTCCCCAAACTCCCAATCGAGAATCTTATTTTTCCTCCCCTGAGAGAAACAGGTGGCCAAAGGGAAGAGGCTAAAGGAGGTGCCTCAGCGTGGAAAAGGCCGGGGCAGGGAATAAACGTCCCGTCACCCCTAGGCCTGTAGTTACACAACTACCCGGCGAATCCCTTCCTGGGCGCGTTGTAGCCAGGGCTTGCTTCCATTGCTTGCTTCCACAGAGCACATCTCAGTTCCCGTCAACCCAGTGGGGTGGAGAAATGGAAGAGAGAGGATGGCCGCGTGGCCGTGCCCCCTTGGGGAGTGCTTTCTGCCTCTCCCTTGCTCTCTCTCTCTCCAGGGAGCGCACTTGCCTTCTGGGGAAAGAAACAAACCCAAAAACACAGATTTATTCTCTTACAGCCGTGGAGGTGCAAAGGCGTTGACAGGGCCTGTCCTTCCTGGAGGTCCTGGGAGGAGCCACTGCCTTCCCCAGCTTGAGGCCGTCATCATCGTCATCATCGTTCCTTGATGGGGATGCCCCCTCCCCAGGCAGCAATCACGGCACTCCAACCCCTGCTTTTGTCATCGTGTCCCCTTCTGTGACTCCCCTGCCTCTCTCTCTCCCGTATCCGGACACCGGCCCATCCAGATAACCCAGGATAATCTCTGCATCTCAGAATCCTCAGTTCAATCACATCTGCAAAGTGCCACTCGCCACACCAGGTGACATGGTCACAGGTTCTCAGGAGACTAGAGGGGCCATTAGTCCGCCGACCACAAATCACTACACAAATCACTACACCGGTACTTTTTTTAAAGGTTTTTGCCATAGGGCGTACGAGGTTGCTGCAGAGGAGAGAGTCAGAGACAAGGAAGGTGAGAAGTCACCCCTGGGGGCAGGGGGCACACCCAATCCCTTATCCTCCATTCGCATCTCCGGATTTGGAGCCTCATATACCTGTACCCAGCATGAGTTTCAAGCCTCCGGGTCCGGGACTCAAACAGTGGTCGGCCATCTGGAAGTCCAGCAATGTAACCATCACACCATCCGCTGGTCCCAATCTAGAAGATTTTTTAAAAAATAATTATTTTATTTAACTTTATTTATTATTATT